CCCTACAGCTATTACATGGAGACATTGAACAGATCAGAAGAGAATACTCATCAGTTTTTTCTCATGGAGTATCTATAACAAGGAAGTTGGGCTTTTCTAACATTATTATGCCTGGTAAGTGACTAGGGACGCACCAATGTCAAAACATTGACGTTCGAGAAGTGTTTTAAGCTCTCAACTTTGAAGAGTTCAAATAGGCCATGCTGAAGAATGAAATAAGATGTGTGATAATAAATAAGCAAATTGTTTTTCAAAATATTTCATGTTCTGATTATGATAAGGTGGGTAGCTTTTGGAGGCCATGGCTACATTTCATTATGACCATGATAAGAAAGAAAACTGAAGTACTATGCTGAAAACATTTTATTCACGGGTAGAGTATGTTGACAAAGTCACTTAGAGGATATCCTTCTAAGTTTCTTTCTTTATAGTAGAGTACAGGAACACACACATGAAATGAGAGAGAAACACCCTCCAGAGGGTTTATTCATGCTGAAATCCCTCTCTTCCAGTCCTCTAGCTTGTCAGAGCCTGAGTACTCATGTTTGTGTCTAAAATATGCTGATACTTTACAGCAGGCCACCATGGTTGGTGGAATCTGGCTTCTCTGGAGCAGCACGTTACTGCTGTGCCACAGAATTAGTCTAGTATCCTTCTAAGTTTTGATTAAGGACAGGCACTGAGCAATAGTTAGCCTTCCCAGGGACATTTTCCCCTTATGAATACATGTATGTATCAGTGTATGTACATACGCAAATACCGTCTGTACTTCCGCATCTGTTATACATCTATTTATGTATATGAGTCAGATCGATATTAGCCCCTAAAAAAAAACACCTCCCCCCCCCGCCCCAAACAGTGTTTATTTTCCAAGTGGGAAAAAGTGGGAGTTAAGGAATTTCTCACTGTAAAATAAAACAGTGAGATCATTGAGATCAAAATCAGCAAAATTGATGTATTTTGCAGTGAATCTATCGTAAATGCTAACCAAAATAAGGTTTAAAAAACACACTGCTTTACGTCCTGATGGCAATTTAGGTTTTTCTGAGTGTTTTTATATACAACCTGATGAGCGGGTTGAGAATAGTGTACTTGCTGAGTAGAAATGTGTTTGTGGGAACACTTGGCTTAGTACAGGTCAGCAGGCAGCGAATGGGAACACTTTCGTGTCAGGTGCCAGACTTAAAATACGAATTCATTTACTCTACAGGTATTTATCAAGCATTTTCTATGTGCTAAGGTATTCTTCCAGGTACTGGAGGACATCATACTGAGCAAAACAGAACAAAAATAAAAGCCTTCTAATAAGGAAAATTACGGTGACTATGTAAGTAAAATATTGGGTTGTCGGAAAAGTCATGATGTATTTTTTCTGTGTAAAAATGTGTCATGACTTCTTCGACAACTCAATATATATGTTTAAATATGCCAAGTGCCAAGGTAAAAACCATGGCAGGTAAAAGGGTAGGGTATTTCTGAGGCGGTAGTGAGTTGAGAGATTGAAATTTTTGGTAGATTAGAAATTTAGGGGAGATGGTGATATCATCAGAGAGAGACCTAAAGAACGAGAGGGAGTCAGGTAAATATGCAGAGGGAACACGCGCAAAGGTCCTGAGGCAGTAGATTGCCTGGCATGTGGGATGATCTGCAAGAAGGTCAGTTTGGCCAGAACAGAGTAATGGGGTTGGGAGTGGGGGTGAGAGAGAAAATTATCAAGGGGCCTTGGAGGTCACACTAAGTTTTCTGGCTTTTATTCAGAATAAAAGAAGCAACCAGAGGGTTTTTGAGCAAAGGTGTGACAAACGGTTTCAGTTGTCACAGGGCCACTGTGGTTGCTCCGTGAAGATCATACTTGAAAGGAATGTGGGTGGGCAGGAGAGAAACAGGGAAGTCGTTGAGGTAATCCAGGTAAGTGGTGATCATGGCTTGGAGTAAGGCATTAGCCATAAAGATGGTGAGAATGTGACCTGCCCACAGTGGGGTTATAGCATATGGCAAGAGAAACACTAATCCGGAATGATTAGAGAGAAGCTGCAAGGAGAGCAGACAGGAGGTGTAGAATCTCCCTCCGACTGAAAGGGTCTTATTGAAGATTTCTTGGAGAGGTGATAATTCTAAGCTAGACCCCTTAGTCATTATTCTCCACTGTGCTAATAGCAGGCTTTATATTCTAAGACTATGCAGTCATAGATGACAAAGCTCCCCCTCCAATGTTAAAAGAAATTTCCAAATTTAAAAAATTTTTAATTTCTGAAACTGTCTGGAAGTCAGAATTTCAAGAGAGAATAGCCTTTTAAACATTTTGAAGCTTAAAAATTAAAAACAAACCGGAAAGAGATGTAGTTGCTATTTAGTAATGAACTGAAGGTACCTAGAGTTCTAAAAATTCCACATTGTCCTGGGAACAGACGGCTGTGACGAGGTGAAATTAACCTCATCAGTTTTTGCTTCCAATATATCCTTTCCTGTATGTCTAGACCTGTCATTTTCCTTCTCTTTCTATCTTGATCTTTTTTTTTTTTTTTTAAATGTTTTTGCCCTAGAGTACATGTGCTTGCTGGAGAGAGACAGTGACTGAAGGGAAGTGAGAAATCACCCCCCAGGGGGTATGGCCATGCTGCAATCCCTTCTTATCCATTTTCCTCCTGGGATTCTGGGCACGCATGCACACATGCCTAACTTGATTCTCAAGCCGCCAGATCTGGGACTCAAACTGCAGTTGGCCATGTGGGAGTCTAGCTCCTCAGCCACCACACCTCCTGCTAGCCCTCTATCTTGATCTTTTATCTTATTTTCTTATCTTTCTTATCTCTAGGCCTCCTAATCTTGCCTCAGAATAGGACCAAACTGTATAGGTTATTGTGATTTACATTTAAAAACAATTTTTTTGGCATGTCTAAGGAATGAATTTTTTTTAGTCAGAACATTTGATAATAAAAGGACTTCACCTTATTTCATAGAAACAAAGGACTTCCATCCTTTCATCTACATGTTAGAAGATAATAAATAGCATATGAAAAAGGAGTATTTCTCAATAATCCACAACCACAAAAAGGGAGAAAAAGTAGACCAAATGAAATAGGCTTAAATTGTCAACAGTATACTTTGAAATGAGATCCACTAAACCATTATTTAAATCCCATGTGTACAGGCAAGCAAAAGAAGTTGTATCTGACAACACCCCTGGCACAAATACGAGCCCTGACGATAGAATTGCTGTGAATAAGGACCTAAAATGACCAGCATTGCCCATTGCACCATTTTGTGATCTCTTGATTGAAATTCGTTCATGCAAGAAGGCTGAGAGAATAAATAGCCTGTACAGTTTGCTGAGATGACCTGACCTAGCTCAGAGACCCAGTCTGCCTGAGCATCTCCTGCTACTGTTGTCGAAAATGACTGTTTATAGAACTGTTTACTTGGTGGCATGCTATTCAGTGGCTCATGTAACCATTCATTATTTCCTTCAGTTGCTATAAATAACTGGAATTTCCTCTTCAACAAAAAAGAAAAAAAAAATCATCCCACTGGGAAACAAATTGATGGGCAAATCTAATATAAAAAACATATTTAGAGCAGAATGTAGCCAGCTGCTAGAAGAATTCCTCAGCTTGGTCTCTAGGCAGTATCATTGGGAAATGGAAAAATATATAGCAAGATAGACACTTCACTGACTAAATAATTGTCTGGGATGTGCTGGGCTCATGCAGCTTCTGTCTGACTTTAATGATGGAAATGAACTTTGTGTAGGTAAGGCTCACTTCTGTCCCTCTTTGGCACCACATCATAATGCAGGGTTCACCGTGTCTGGGAAAATAGCCTTCCCAGACATATTCTGCAGTGCCAGGGTCTATAAGGAATTGTTATAAAGCTTCGAGCCTCCTCTCTCTCTCTCTCTCTCTCTCTTTCTTTCTTTCTTTTGCCTTTTCTTCTTTGGTTTCTTAATTGTTTTAGTCCCTTTCGTTGCTAATAACAAAAAATACCTGCACCTGCATAGTTAAAAAGACAACAGGTTTATTCCACTCACAATTTGGAAGTCCAAGGTCTGGGGAGTAGGGGGGTCTTACAGAGTCCTGAGTTTTCACATGAAGAGGCAAGGTCACAGCTGAGTGGCTGTGTCCATAATTGTCTCTGTTCATTTTTGTGTCTCTGTTCCGATCTCCTTCCTTCTCTTTATAAGTCCACCAGGAACCCCCTCCCTAATCATTTAATCTCTCACAAAGGCCCTGCTTTTCAACACCAGGAAGGGATTAACTTTAATATTTTCACAATATAACTAAATTCTAACACATGAAATTTTGGGAAACACCCAACCCCCCAACGTTTAATTTTATGCTTCCAAATTAGATGAAGATGGGCGAGACATATGTATTTCCTTAGTTGAAAGCTATTTGTGAATTCACTGGAATTTTTTAACATTGGGAAATATCCATTGTTTTGCTTCCCTTTGTTATTTTTAGAGTTGTCAGTTCTCACCGGTGGCTAGAATGAAAACTTGAGCTGAATTCTTCAATAAGAAAATGTATGTGAACAACATTTCTGATCCCAGTGTTAATCCGGACAGTCTACAAGCAGGATTTGTTTTTGTTTTCTAGACTTGTCCTTCAGAGTTAATTTGCCTCTTTAGTGTTCTCATAGGGGTCAGGATAGGTGAGGTGCATCCCAAGGCCAAGTTGGTCAACACTGTCACTGCCTCTCTGCGGAATGAATTCTTTGTGACCCTGACAAGGATAAGAACACATACAAAACTCTTTATGAGGACCGCATAATGTAATCAATGCCAAACTCTTTTAGAAATGGAAAATACATAGAAATAGACATTATTCACTTGGTCTCACTATCACATAGGCAGGGCTGTTGGTGGTCACCTAATCTAGGAAGGTGATCTGACTGTGTGCTTTCAAGCCGTGATAAAGTCCTCTGGATCATTCCCTAAGTGAAGGATCTGTCATTTAGCAATCAGTTGCCCAAAGTATCTGATTTCCCACTAAGAAAAGTCATTTTTTGTGATGTTTCATTACTGCAATCTACAAGTCAGATAACTCTGCAGGAAGTTCCACGGTGTGGTCTCTGAACTTGAGAGAGAGCAAGCATTAAAAATATTGAAATTCATG